CTGCACGAGTTTGGTATGAACAAGTTTCTGATAAATCTCAATACTGAATTACGTGTCGTCCCAAATGCGTCCTGATATTCTCAGTGCAATACTGACAGATCAGTGCAATGTAGCCACGTAGAATTCATGTATCACAAAAAATAATTACAGGAAAATAGATTTTTAAAATGTTTTGGGGAGACTTTAAAAATGGAATTGAAACTGCGTTGTTTTGTAGTCTCTCACCCGAAGGCCTTTGTTAATGTTAGACTAATCCCCAGAAAGAAAGAAAATAAAATGTAATTAATACATTTTCAGAAAATCTTATAATAACCAAAAGTAATTTTTTTCCCTGTACAAGGAGATCTCCATTTTGAAGTGCAGTATTCACAGTCTGTCTGGGGACACAGGTAACTTCTATTTCTGTAAATGCCTCACTTACTGTCTCAAGATGTTAAACCGCTCATGGTTGTAGCTCTAACAGTTCTGGACACTAGGCCAATGCAGATTTTGCTTTGGAAACTCCGTATTTTGTGAAAATAAGAAGACAGATCTTTCTAGAAGGTTGGTTTTTAAAATTGTCATCTATCTGAAGCTGCTCAGAGAGTCGGGAGTGTTAGATTAACTCCAGTTTGTGATTGTACCGCAGGTAAGGGATATGCTATTACAAAGGATCGACCCAATTCTGTATGTGTGTTTTGACAATGGGAGAGAGAAGAATGTATATTTAAATTGTGAACTTAGTCCCCTCTTTGCATTTTGTGACTTCTGTGAGCTGGAGTCACAGAAGTCACTGGAGTGATGAAGCTCACGCTACTCTCCGCGCAGCGGGATTGGGCCCTTATATACTCGCCATTTCCTATTCCGCTGCAGTTTTTTCCCAGTTCGCTGTCCTGCTCTTGCCTAGCACAGACTCGCAAATTTTATGTCCTGTGATATGATGGGCTCGCTTCCTCACAGATGTGAGTTTTGGAGAGCCTCATGCAAAGGTGAACAGTGGGACGTTGGGCCTGAATTTTTAGAATGAATGGGGGAAGACTTAATCATATGAAGCCAAAATGCTCTTGTGCCTTGGTGACTACACACTCAAATGCCATCGCAGTATGAATCAAACATGGTGGGTCACAGCTGAGCCTCTTTAATAAAATAATACTTAGCAGCTACAAAGCACTTGTCTTTCTCAAAGCATTTTCTAAGCGCAATCTAACTGACAGCTGTTCCCACCTCCTTCTGAGAAGGATCAGTTTTCATTTCCAGGGTGGGGAAACTGAGGTACAAAACCCCCAAAGCCCCGCCGCCAACTGGTAGCAAAGGTGGGAGCAAAACCTGGCGCTCAGCCTTCTGCCCCGGACATCGCAACCCAGCCACGAGGCGTCGGGTCCAGCCGCCATAAGGCTGAGACTTCAGGGACGTTTGGATGCTAACATCCCTTCAGCTAGCCGAAGTACACATGTGTGTCGGGTCCGTACATGCTATTCCTCCAAAGAGCCCACAGCCGTTCCCCTGGACTTCTGTACCACCGGCTTAATTCCTCCCAGGGATAGCTGGCTGTCCTTCCGCAGCTGCCTTTGTAAGGTGTCTGAATGTCAAACTGTTATTATTTCAATACCTGACTGAGAGAGTAACAGAGACCTGGAGGTTTTTTAGGAGGGTGTATAATTAGCCGATCAGTATTATGTTACCCTGTTCATAACTTAATAACCATTTTAATACAGATGGCACACACAGGGATAATTTCCTAGGGTAGCCTAGCAGTATATTACAGAGTCAGTGTGTCTGAGGGAATCTTTCTTAGCCAAGGTACATTCCACTAGCTAATTCTACCTGCTGTTTTCAAGATGATTTGGGATAATTCCATATCATTTGCAAAATATTAAAACCCATTTATATAGGATGCCAGATTTAGAAATACACAGTCTGAGTTATTAGACATATTTTGATAAATCTGCCACGGAAAGCGCAAGACAAAAAATACCACTGTGTTTTCTCTGCTATTTATTTTTTCCTTCCCTTGCTATAAATACACCAGGTTTTTTAAAAAAAAATCTGGCTAAACCTGTTATATATCAAAAGGGCCAATATACTGACTTGTGCGTTTTTATCTATGCGGAGACTACAAAAGCCTGCATGCATATTTACATATACCCTATATACGTTTATTTGAGTATATTTGGGATTGCGTGCAAAATTTCGTGTATTCGTCCTCTGTCGGTGAGGCGTTTCGTGCCTATGTATGTACCCTTCGCAGATATCCCCGTGTTACTCTCGTTTCTAGAGGTTGCGTTTCTGTGGGCGTATGGTCAAGGTATCCGTACATACATTGCACGAAAACACCGTAATGACTTTTACCGGGTGCGTAAGGGTGCTGCGTGCTGCCCGAGTGTGAAGGTCCGGTGTACGTCGCGTTTGAGCGTGCGGGCACGTGAACAGCCGAGCGCTTTGCAGCGTGCAAGGACTCGATTACGTCTCTCACCGGCCTTTTTCTCCCGCATCGATCCTTTTTTTTTTTATTATTTTGCCTGTCATACGGTTATTTTTGTCACCTCAAACCTGAGACCAAATCTGAGTCCCTCCACCAACAAAAGTCGCACCCTAGCAGCCGGGGGAGGAGATGGGGGGGG